GGAAGGAAGGAAGGAAGGAAGGAAGGAAGGAAGGAAAGATGGAAGGAAGGAAGGACCGAAGGAAGGAGGAAGTCCGCACTACAGACAGGGATAAAGGGGCCTGGACCGTCCGGCTCCGTTCTGCCCACTGGGAGGCGCCGCCTTACAATCCCAGTCTGCCTCTTAAGCCACCCCATCCTGCCCGTTTCCTTCCTCTACAGGGAAGCTGTTCAGATGTCTGCGCACACAGAGATATTACTGCATCATTTGTTTATGTGTACAGCTGCATGGAGGCATACGCATGCGTGTAAGTGTCCGTGAGAGGCCAGAAGAGAGTGTCAGATCCCCTGGAGCTGGAGTTACAGGTGGATGTGAGCGACCGGATGTGGACGCTTGGACCCAAACTCCAGTCCTCTGAAAGGACGGCCATTTCTGCAGCCCCTGCGCTCAGCTAATAGAAATTCAGTGTAGCTGGTCCCTTACCCCTGAAGCCTCCCAGTCTCCCGCCTGTCTTATTTTTCTGCCTGGTGCTGTATTTCCAGTCACAAGATTGCAGAACCACACACAGACTGCCTTTTCTGTGTTGAATCTCCATCCTGTTGCATAGCCAGGCGGCCCTTGATTTCAAGACCTCCTGGACTCAGCCTCCTGGGTGCTGAGATTATAGACCAGTACCATCAAGTGTCACTGATATGCTAATATTTTAAAATTAATTTGAGAAGCTGAAGAAATGGCTCAGTAGTTAAGTGCATGTACTGGCCGGGCAGTGGTGGCGCACGCCTTTAATCCCAGCACTCCGGAGGCAGAGCCAGGCGGATCTCTGTGAGTTCCAGGCCAGTCTGGTCTACAGAGTGAGATCCAGGACAGGCACCAAAACTATACAGAAAAACCCTGTGTCAAAAAACAAAAACAAAACAAAACAAAACAAAAAAAAGATCCAAGTTTGGTTCCCAGCATCCATGTTGCATATCTCACACTCACCTATAACTCCAGCTCCAGGGGACCCAACAACTCTCTCTGGCCTCCAAAGGCAGCTGCACTCACATGCACACACACACACATATGCATAATTTAGAAAATAAAAATAAGTCTTTTTTTTTTGATGAAGGCTCTCACTATGTTGCCCTGGCTGGCCTCAAACTTTCAGAGATCCTCCTGCCTCTGCATTACAAGCACGTGGCACCCAGCAAAAATAAAAACTTTATTTTTTTTTTCATTTGAGAAAGGGATGTCATTTATACTTGACACACAGCTCTGTCTGGAGTCTCGGCTCTCCATTTGTCCTCAGCCGCAGCCACACCAACCCCCACTTTCCTTCAGCTCTCTAGGTCCCTGTGACCACAGGGCCTCCACACTGGCTCTTCCCCATGCCTGTAACATGTCTCCAGTCAGCTACGGTTGGTATCGGGACTGCAAGGTCACCTTTGCCCAGATGACCCCCAGCCCGAGCTAAACTGCCCAGGTGCACAGTCCAGGCCCCTCGGCTGCCCTGAATCTTCTTCCATTACTTGTCCCTTCATGTCAATTTGTGTGACTGCCTGGTGATGTCTCTCCTTTTCAACATTGTATCAACAGTGTGTAGCTGCTGTAACAGAACAAATTTAAATTTAGTGAGGTTTATTTTTATTTATGTGTATGCTTGTGTGTCTGTGTTGGGTATGTGCACATGAGTTCAGGTGCTCAAGGCGGGCAGAAGTGGGCATCAGATTCTTGGGGCTAGGGTTGCAGGTGGTTAAGAGACACCGCATGGCTGGGCGGTGGCAGCGCATGCCTTTAATCCCAACATTCAGGAGGCAGAGCCAGGCAGATCTCTGTGAGTTCGAGGCCAGCCTGGGCTACAGAGCGAGATCCAGGACAGGCACCAAAACTACACAGAGAAACCCTGTCTGGAAAAAGAAAAAAGAAAAAAAGAAAAAGAAAAGAAAGAAGGAAGGAAGGAAGGAAGGAAGGAAGGAAGGAAGGAAGGAAGGAAGGAAGGAAGGAAGGAAGGAAGAAAGAAAGAGGCACCTCACTCACATGAACGCTGGGAACTGAACTTGGGTCCTCTGCCAGAGCAATACATGCTCTTAACTGTGGAACCATCTCTCCAGGCCCCCTGGTGGGTGTTTGTTGTTGTTTTTGTTTGTTTTTAAGTAGGGTCTCATGTAGCTCAGGCTGGCCTAGAACTCACCATGTAGCAGACCTTGAATGTCCTATCCTTCTGTCTCCACTTCCTGGTTGGAAGTTTTAAATTTTTTTTTTTAAAGAGAAAGTAGGAATTCGGCTTTCTTTCTTTCTTTCTTTCTTTCTTTCTTTCTTTCTTTTTTTTTTTAAAGATTTATTTATTTATTATGTATACCGAGGAGATCTCATTACAGATGGTTGTGAGCCACCATGTGGTTGCTGGGAATTGAACTCAGGACCTCTGGAAGAGCAGTTGGTGCTCTTAACCTCTGAGCCATCTCTCCAGCCCGGAAATTTTAAATTTGTTTTGTTTTGTTTTGTTTTGTTTTTCAAGATAGGGTTTCTCTGTGTAGCTTTGCGCCTTTCCTGGATCTCGCTCTGTAGATCAGGCTGGCCTTGAACTCACAGAGATCACCTGCCTCTGCCTCCCGAGTGCTGGGATTAAAGGCATGCGCCACCACCGCCCGGCAGGTTTTAAATTTTTTGGGACCAAGTCCTACTCCAGAGCTCTGCATGGTTTGGAATTTACTCAGTAGCCCAGATGGCCTGGACCTTGCAGGTTCCTCCTGCCTCAGCCTCTCTGGGCCATTATCATTTCTTCCCCCAGTGTGTCCAAGAGCCGTGAACAGGGCCAGGCACATAGCAGCAGCTGCTCTACAGAGCAGCTAGTGAGGAACTGAGTGCAGAGGGAACAGGAAGAAAGAGGGAGGTGGAACTTGGGAGCAACAGGTTTTGGGGAACCAAGGGACAAGGAGGAAGCCCAGGCCCCTGAAGGCAGGGGTGTGGGGCAGGGATGGGCCGCCAGGAGGCAGGAGGTGGAAGGCTGAGGCAGGAATTGGGGCGTCCTGTTCTCCCACTTGAGTCTGCCTACGCACCCTTCCTTGGGCTGGGCCTTGCGGGAGACACTGCAGGGGAAGGAGAGGATGGGGAGGGGGGCGTGGGGTGCCCAACTGGTACAGCGGGTCTGGCTGGTCCCTGCGTTTGGCATGGACTGCACCAGGGAGCGGAGAGGGTGCTAGGACAATCTTAGGTCCTGTGGAGGGAGAGGTAGCGCCTTGATCCGTGTCCCTCCCGCAAACCCGACACCCCCACCCCCCACGCCACACCCATATTTAAAACAGGCTGTGCCTGTCTCGTCCCTGGCACATGTGAAAATCCTCTCCCTGGGACCTGTGGGTCTAGACCCAGCCTTTCTTTCTTGGTCAGATGCAGGGGTCCAGACCTCCTCCCTCAGACTAGACCCAGGCCCCACGCTCTGGCTCGCACACTCCCCCCAGTGAGTCCCTGGGCATTCTTACCTTTTCTGTTCTCTGCATACCTGTCTGCCTCCACCCATCTCCTCTGTGGCCAGGCGGCCTATCAGGACCCACGTTCTTGTTCTGCGCATCCCTCTCGGCGTCCACCCGCCCTAGGCCAGGCCATCCCTCCTGAGGGATGACAGGTGTGGGGCTTCTGCGTGGCCTTGAACCCCGTGCAGTGGTGAAGCCGGGCTGGGTGGGGGTGCCCAGGGCGGCGGCTCCTCTGCATGCCGCAATCAGGGTGCAGAGAAGGTGGGGTTCCTGCCACACCACCCACCTCAAGATGGACCGGCTGATTAGAGGGGGACAGAAGGCGAGCAGAGCCAACTCGGGGTGCCAGCTGTCCACCTCTCACCCCACCCTGTGTGAGGGACCCTGGGGACAGCGGGGCCTCCCTCCCCCACTAATTTGCCCTTTCCCATCCGTTTCCAGGACGGGGTGTTGAATGTTGGTGTTCATGTGTCTGGGTCCCGGAGCTCTGGGAACCCAGACTCCTCCCTGCCCCGTCCCATCCCCACCCCGTTCAGGTTCCTCCTCCCTGACTCAGGATTGAAGCCCCAGCCTTGCCCTCTGGGGAGCTCCGCCTCGCACAGACTGAGCGCTCCTGGTATTTTTGGCAATTACTGGATTTTAATGGAAAGGCTGGGCTCTGAAGGTGATAATGGCCTGATTCTTTGGATACACGGCCTCATGACCCAGTGACCTCCCTCTCCCACACGTGAACTCCATCAGCAAACCGGCACACTGCAGTGCGGGGGGAAGGGCCTAACACCCAGCCAGAGGAAGTGAAGAAATGGCACTGAGCTCTGGGCCAGGGATGCCCATCCCCACTGTCCCCAGGGATGGATATGTCTCCAGATGTCACCATCCATGGCCAGAACAACAAGGCTCCCCTCTGTGGCTGGAGGGACATCCCCCCCCCTTGTAGCATCTCTCCAGCCTTTGTCCCACCAGGCCTGTCCACTCAGATCTCACCCTGCTGTACCATCTGTCCGCAGTTTTCCCTACACAAGCTGTCTGTCCACATCCTGATGATACCACAGTCGGCAGACACACGGACATCGTGCCCACCTATCCAGGCATCCCTCCAACCGTTCATCTACCTATCTGTAACAATGTATTCGGTGTGTGTGTGTGTGTGTGTGTGTGTGTGTGTGTGTGTGTGTGTGTACAGGCCAGGATTCAACTCCAGCTGTCTTTGTATGGAGCCATCCACCTTTGTATGGAGACAGGGTCTCTATCCCTGTGACCTGGGGCTCCCTGGTAAGAATAGACAGGCTGGTCAGCAGGCCCCAGCCTCTTACCTCGGTGCTGGAGACCACAGGCACTCACTGCCAGACCTAGCTTTTTACCTGGGTTGTGAGGGTCCAAATTCAGGTCTTCATGTTTGCCCAGCAAAAGGACTTTACAAACTGAGCTATTTCCTAGCTAATCCATCACATAGCTTTTCCTTTTAAATTTATTTTATTTTATGCATGAGTATGAGTATTTTGCCTGCATGTATGTCTGTGTACTATGTGTGTGCCTGGTGTCCTCAGAGGTCAGAAGGAGGCATCAGATCTCCTGGAACTAGAGTTGAAGGTGGTTGTGAACCGCCATGTCAGTGCTGGGAACTGAACCCGGGTCCTCTGCAAGAGCAGCCAGTGTTTTTAACTGCTGGGCTGTTTTCTCCAGCCCCCATCATAGAACTCTCAACACTTCGTGATCACTTTTGAGACAGGGCCTCATCCTGTATAGCAAAGTCTGACTTCAAAATCAAGACTCCCGCCCCAGCCTCTGGAGTGTGAAGTCACAAACGTGTGCATCACCACACCCTGTTTTTCATGCCTTTCACAAATATTTTATTACTGGACATGGCGACGCACACCTTTAATCCCAGCACTTGAGAGGCAGAGGCAGGAAGATCTCTGAATTTGAGGCCAGCCTGGTCTACAGAATAATTTCCAGGACAGCCAGGGCTACACAGAGAAACCCTGTCTCAAAAAAAAACAAACAAACAAAAAATTATCTTTACGTTTAGTTAGTTATATGTGTGAGTTTGTGCACTTGAGCTCATGCCTTTGGAGACCAGAAGACGGTGTCAGAGGCCCTGGAGCCTGTCTGTCTGTCTGTCTCTCTCTGTCTCTGTGTCTCTCTTTCTCATTCCTTCCTTCTTTCTTTCTTTCCTTTTCATTTTTCTTTACTTTTTTTTGTACAGGGTTTCTGTATTAGTCCTGGAACTGGCTATGCAGACAGTAGATAATCTGCTCTCGAATTCTCAGAGGTCCACCCGCATTGCCTTCTCAGTGCTGGGTTGAAGGCATGTACCCCCACACCTGGCTCTGTGTGCTCTCAACCAGTGAGCAGTTTCTGCAGCATCACCACAGCATATTTTTTTAAAAGTGAAAACAGATCGGAGAGTTAAGGGCACACACTTCCCTCACAGAGGAACGGAGCTCACAACTATCTGTGACTCCAGTTCTAGGGGATCCAATGCCCTCTTCTAGCCTCCTTGGGCACCCCGGTACTCATGTGGACATTCTCAAACACAGACATACATATATAACTTAAAAAATACAGTAAAATCTTCAAAAATTATTTTTGAAAGTTGAAAAAGGATGTGTGAAATTAATCTTGGAAATGTAACTTATTTAATCTAAGATTATTTCAACATACAAGTCATATCAAATTTATTGAGATATTCTACAGGTCTTGTATTTTCAATTCTAATGCCCAGTTTTCAATGGTTTAATTGGTGTGTAATCTCACCAAAGCATGCTGCTATTTAAATTAATTGAAAGGAATATAATTGGAAGTTTGTACTTTCTTAACCACATGTACCTCAATTCACATTCTAAATAGTCAGATTAGCTCAGAGCTATGTCTACTTACCTGACTCACTGTGGGCCTCCCACAGCTGAAGGGAGGGCAGGTGGATCGATGAATAAAGGATGGACCGATTTGGATAGAGAGGTGGGTGAATAGGTGGGTGGGACGAGTTGATAGATAGATGGATGGATAGCTGAATGTGTGGGTGGCTGGATTGATAAATTGAAAGACTGATATCTAGAGCTAGATGGATGGCTCATCAGTAAAGAGCACTTGTTACTCTTCCTGAGGACCCAGGTTCAGTTCCCAGCACCCACACAGTGGCTAACAAGCATCTGTAACTCAAGTCCCAGGGGATCTGAAGCCTTCTTCTGGCTTCCTTGGGCATCAGGCATAAATGTGATGCACAGATATGAATGCAGGCAAAACACCCACGCAATAAAATAAAATTTAAAAAATATTGAAAGCTGAATGAATGGTGGTAGATCAATGATTGGGTCTGTTTGGATCTGTGACTGGATGGATGAATACAAAGATGGACAGGTGGTTGGATGGATGTGGGTATGTGGATGAATGTGTGGATGGGTGGAAGGATGGAGGGAGGATGTGTGTATGAGTGGATGGTAGATGGAAGACTTGTGTATGGATGGGAGAATGAAGTAGTGGGTATGTACATGGATGGGTAGATGAATGGGTGGGTGGGTAGAAATGTGAGTAGATGGGTGGACAGATTGGTTGGTGGACAGATGTATGGATGGGTAGATGTATAAATGGATAGATGGATGATGAGAATATATGGTTATCAGATGAATGGTTTGATGAATGGATGGTTGGATGGATGGGTATGTTCATTGAGGAATAAATGATTGGATGTATGGATGAGTGATATAGATATCACTAGATATCAGTAAATTTTTTTTTTTTTTTTTTTTTTTTTTTGGTTTTTCGAGACAGGGTTTCTCTGTGTAGCTTTGCGCCTTTCCTGGAACTCACTTGGTAGCCCAGGCTGGCCTCGAACTCACAGAGATCCGCCTGGCTCTGCCTCCCGAGTGCTGGGATTAAAGGCGTGCGCCACCACCGCCCGGCCCTAGATATCAGTAAATTACCAATAAAACCATTGAAAACTGGGCATTAGAATTGAAAATACAAGACCTGTAGATATATGAATGAGTGTATCAATATGTAGACAGATAGGTGCATGGATGGATTGGTGAATGAATGAATGAATGGGTAAGTGGGTGCTTAATGGGAGGATAGATGGATGGATAAGTCAGTGAGTATAAGGATAGATTTACTGATAGGTGGTTGAGCGAGTGAGCGGATAAATGATTAAAGGGTTTGGTAGATATATGGGTGGATAGTTAGATGAATGGGCACATGAGTAGAGGAATGCATCAGGAGTAGACAGATGGATGGGTGGTTAAATGGTTGCATTGGTGGGTGGCTGCAGATATGTATCAGTGAGTGGATGGATGCATTAAGGGTAGATGGATGATGAATAGGTGGGTAGGTGGATATATAGGCGCAACAATGGATAGATAGATGGTGAGTGTATAGATGGGTAGGAGGATCATTGGTGGATAAGTGGGTAGGTGGATGGATTGAGTTCAATGATAGACTCATGGATGGACTGATAAATGGGTAGATGAGTAGATGGGTGTATCAGTGAATGTATAAATGAATGGTAGATGAGTAGGTGGATCTGCAGATAGGTGAGTAAGTAATGGGTGGATGGGTAGATTAGTGGATGGATGGATGGGTAAATGGATTGAAGTGTTGATAGATTCAAGATTAGATGAGCTGGGTGAATAGATAGAGAGATAGAAGGAAGATGAATGGATGCCTGGATGAATGAACAGATAAGTTAGTAGATATATGAATGAGTGTATCAATATGTAGACAGATAGGTGCATGGATGGATTGGTGAATGAATGAATGAATGAATGAATGAATGAATGAATGAATGAATGGGTAAGTGGGTGCTTGCATGGATGTAATGTGTATACATTGATGGATGGACAGATGGGTAGGGGTGGTGTGTAGATGGGTGGGTGAGTGGGCAGATATGTGAATAGATAAATGAACAGATGACTGGGTATATTGGAGTGTAGATAGATGAATGTATGAATGTACAGGAGGATGGATTCATGAGTGGGTGGAGTAAATGAGCCGGTGAATGGGTGGGTCGATGTGTGAATGGGTAGATTTGTGAATGGAGGAATGAATGATTAGACGGATGTGTATTAGTCAGCTTTTCGTTAATATAGGAAAATACTGGAGTCAGGCTGTTTTATAAGGAAAAAGGTTGGTTTTGGCTCCCAGACCTGGAAGGAGCAGGTCTAAACCTCTCCTAAAGCCACCTGGATGTTGGGGGGAGGGGGCTCCACCTTGGTGACCTAATCTTGCCTAATCACTTCCCAAATGCCTGGCCTCTACACCTCATGGTTGGATTAAGTTTCCACCCTCATAATACCAGCAACAAAGGCTTTGGGGCTTGAGCTCTTCCAGAGAGGAAATCGTATTCACACCAAAGCAGGTGGCTGGGGGGGGGGGGTGCGGAATGCTCCTGGGGCTCTGCTCCTCCACCCACTCCAGGTGCTGTGAGGCCCCTTCCTCTGCTGCGGTCTCCACCCTCAAATCTCTTCCCTGAGCCCAGGTGCCCACGGCCCCTAGGTATGGGGCATGGCAGCCTCCATCAATGTCCTCCCACCATCATTGCCTGAGATGTTCCTCTGTGCCCCTCAGTTCTGAAGCCCTCTTGTAAGTTCTGAATCTGCTCACCGCCTTCCATGTGCTCAGAGACTCAACTGACCCCGGCATCCGCCCCCTGTCGCTCCTCCTCTCTCTGGGCAGCGGCTCAGTCCACCCGCAGGTCTCCAACACCCAAAGCTCTTCCTTGGGAAGCTGTAGCTGATACACACGGGGCAGTCCTGTCCTTGTGAGACAGGTGATAAACAAAGCATTTAGGAGGAGCGTCTCTGTCTGTCTGTGTCTCTGCTTGTCTCTCACTGTCTCTGTGTGCTTCTCTGTCTCTGTTTCTGACCATCTGTGCATATCTTTCTCACTGTTTCTGCCTCTCCCTGTCTTTGACTATCTCTGTGAGTTTCTGTGTCTCTCGCTGTCTCTGTCCCTCTTTCTGCCTCTGATGCTCTCTGTCTCCGTGTCTCTCGCTGTCTCTGTCCCTCTTTCCGCCTCTGAGATGCTCTCTGTCTCCGTGTCTCTCGCTGTCTCTGTCCCTCTTTCTGCCTCTGAGATGCTCTCTGTCTCTGTGTCTCTCGCTGTCTCTGTCCCTCTTTCCGCCTCTGAGATGCTCTCTGTCTCTGTCCTTATCTCTGACCGTAATCCTGTTGTCCTGCCCTGGCTGCAACCTCTGTCTCTTGTCTCTCCGTCGTAGAAACTCAGCCCGCAAGGTGGACACCGCTCTTCCCCAGCATGCCCTGTGCTCAGCACCCCGCAGGAGGTGCGCGGCAAAACTTTCGAAACCAAGAGGGCGGCTGGCTGGAGGCAGCAGCTAGGCTGGGCGGCCGCAGCCACCGGGGGACAGCCGGAAGTCCCCAGCTGGCCCTGGACTCTGGTCGCGTGGAGCCTCCACCCTCGCCCTGGGAGGGCACCAGCCTCTCCCTCCCTGCCGCCGGCAGGAGGCGTGGGCAGCAGCTGGGAGAACCGGCTGTGCCCCTCCCCTGGGCCGGCCTGGTAGGCACCTGGCACTGGCGGGCGCGGCAGACGCTGCGCACCTGGCCCCGACGCCCGCCCGCCCGCCCGGCTAGCTCCTGCCCTGCCCGCCATGGACGGGCCACAGCCGCCGGCCCTGGGGGACACGTTCGAGGACCGTGTCTCCGAAATTAGGTGAGGCGGCCGGCGTGCTTGCCAGGGCCTGGGGAGGGTGGGGTCAGGCCCTGGCCAGGGAGGGACCCCCACTGGATCCATTCAGGCATGGGATGCCTCTCTGTCTCGCTCCGGTTGTTCTGTTGTGGGGAGGGGGGCAGGGCCTTTGCTAACCTAAATTGGGTAAGGGGAACTGGGAGCCTGGTGCCTAGAACCTGCGGAAGACCGAGGTGACTGAATCCTACATCAGCTGGGAACCCCCAATAAAGCTCACTTCTCATGTGTTCCTACTCCATCTAGGAGACATCAGGGAGCATGGGATGCTCACGGAGGGGAAAATGGGTCTTGGGCACCAAGAGGATTAGGGCCGACCTCTCTCCTCATGTAGGGAGTGTGTTATAGTTCCTCTGTTCCTGGAGAGTACCCACTTACCAGATGGAGAAACTGAGGATGGGCAGGAAGTGATCTGATCACGAGCCCCCTCTCCTGGTGTCTCTGAAACCTCTCCACACCCCTCCCTTGGCTTCTCTTCTCCCTTGGCAGAAGCCCAGAAAGCGTTTGTGGCTCCCCTCAGATCACACAGTGAGCTGCCGACCTCATCGGCAGCTCACTGTGCCGACTCTTTACACTCTTACAAGGCAGGACTCTTGTGTCCTCCCAGGACCCTCTGGTACCCTGAGCTGTGTGTGGGTAGGCAGGTGTGTGTGTGCACGCGCTCACTTGCAGGAGGGCGACAGCTAAGCCCTGTCCTCACCCTGGTTACTTCACTCCAATATGGTATTGTTCCAAGTCCTCCCTTCCCCGGCCTCAGCCAAGAGCCAGGGTGTGGAGAGGCACTGAGGAACTCCAGGGACCAGGTAGTTGAATCCAGATTGCTGTGTGACCTAGGCAAGCTTCGTGGCATCTCTGGACCCCTGGGCTTTGGTTGAACATTCTCTTCTCTGTACCTCTCTTCAGCCCTTATCTGACCTGGCACCTTCCTCTGCTCTTCTGCCCACTCGGGCCAAGTTCCTGGAATGCCTGTTTTCTGCAAGTGAGTGTCCGTCTGTCATTGGCTCTCTCTGCACCTCAGCCTTGTCCCTCTGGATATGGATGGGCTTCAGTTCCTCCTCGTGTGGCCTCCCTCCACAGCCCCGCTTTCCACTTTTCCTGGTGTCTCCATGACCTGTCACTCCCCACACCACACCTCCCTGTCCCATCAGGCCCCTCTCCCCAGCCTCCCGACCCCAGCGGCCCCAGAGCTGCCTCACCCATCCCATGATGTGACTCCCTAGCATCCAGGCCCCTCCGGGCCCCACCCCCACCCGTCACTGTCCTCCTCTCTCCCTGCATTCCATTCACCCCACGACTTTGGGTTCCCTAGTCACACCCCACCCTCACTGCCCCGGTGCCTTTGCACATCCTGTTTGGGGATTTTTTTTCTCTGTGGAAACTTCCAGAAAGCTTCATTTCTAAACCCCAAGTCCACCCCTGCCCCTGCTTTGTCTTCTATGGTTCCCCAGCACCCAGGGCTATGGCCTCCGAAGCTGTTTTAAGGTTTTGAATTGTTTTGTTCAGATGGAATTTCCTGAGCCTAAATATGTAACAGGAATCAGAACAGGATGGATCTGGTTTGAGGAGGAATCGGGTATGGGCCCCCTAATCTGCTCCCCACATCCCAGCTCTCCTCTCCCACAGTGGGGCTCCCCTCATGCCCACACCCCATCTCCGGGCCTGTGCGCTTCCTTTCCTCTTCCCTGGCAATCTCCACTCTCTCTTTTATTGGCCAAACAGCTTCTCAGGGTTCAAGATGTAATTTTGAATTTCAAACCTCAGCTGTTTAGGGTTCCTGGAGGGGAAGGGAGTAGCCCACAAAACCCAGATTGCCATGGTCCATCTTCAGATCTTTCCTGTCCTGGGCACCATGACACACTGTCATGGACAGGTATAGGAAACTCAAGAGCAATGGCCAGGAATGAAAGAGTAAACTGAAGAATGAGATTAGGAAACCTTTGATCTTGGGGTGAGTCAGGACTACAGGAGGGGCCAGGCGTGGTGGACAGAGGGCATCAGCAGAATCCCATAGGGCGAAGGGCAGCACCTCATCCTACCACACCCCAGAGGCAACAAACGATTCAATTTTTAAGCCTCTTAAATAAGAACAGGTGAGCCATTATCTGTTCTAGATTATGTGATGCAAACTATCCAGGATTTAATTTGGGCTAAAGGAGACTCAGCAAGATGCAGCTCTTGGAATGTTCTAGATAATGGGGTTGGCAATGCAGCGTGCTTTGTATGAATGAAGCCTCACAGCCTCACGTGGATCTGGAGGACTGTAAAGGACAGAATAAACCTGGGGGCATGGCTCAGTGGTGAGAGCTTTCCTGGCATGCATGAGGCCACAACAGCCAGGTATCCCAGCACGCTGGAGCAGAGGATGAAGAGATCAAGGTCATCCTTGGCTACAGAGCGAGTTCAAAGCCAAACGAGGCTACATGAGGACCTTGTCTTTTAAGAGAGGAGGAGGAGGAGATAAGAGAAGAGAGATTCAGGAGGTGGGCAAGGCAAGGACAGGCAGCAGAACCATTGTGACAAGGAGCCCAAGTTTTCATCCATGCTAACAGCCTATCTGCCGAGTATTGTTTGAGTTAATCCTCCTTGTGGCCTGACCAGTGAGAGGAACACAGATGAATGACCAAATATCAGCATCCCATCAAAGAAATTGAGACCCTGAGAAATTAAGAGGGTTGCCTAAGATCACCCAGATGTAATTAGTGTGAAGCCAAGATCTCGACCACAGAAAGGGGAATCTCTCCTTCCCTGAATTTGGGTATGAGGAAGATGGGAAGGGGCAGAACATAGAAGGAACGCAGCCCTCTGTAGCTGGGAGTCTTAATGAGCACTCCGGGGGGTGGGGGGCTCCCAGCTTCAGGGAGCTTAGAGCAGACAGGCAGAGAAGCCACAGGCTTGTGTGCCTGGGTGTAGAGAACTCTTCCCACACAGTCATGTCTTTGGGTGCTGTGTTTTCCTGGTGCTGGGTACTGAACACTGAGCCTCACAGATGCTACACAAGCGCCTACCACTGAGCCACACCACCAGCATTCTCTCTACAAACATTTTATGATGTCTGTTTCTTTCTCTGTACACACGCATGGGCCTGTGACTGTCACGACACACATATGGAGGTCAGAAGACAATTCCATGGAGTCAGTTCTCCCCTTCCCTCCACCATGCCAGTCCCAGGATGGAACTCAGGTCCTCAGACTTGGCAGCAAATGCCTTTATCCACAGACCCACTCCCCCTGTCTTGTGAGGACCACAAGGCCTTACAGGACCATAAGGCATGGTGGAGGGGACTGCCTTGGGTCTTTGTGGGCTACAAACATCTCCTGCTTTTTTTTTTTTTTTAACCACTGAGCCGCCTCTCCAGACAGGGTCTCCTTGTGTAGCCCAGGCTAGCCTTGAACTCATGGTAGTCCTTCTGCCTCAGACTCGAGTGCTGCTGGGAAGTAGCAGCAGTGAGTGGTCAGTCTTAGCTGCTTTGGAGATTTTATTTTTCTACTTCCTTTCCAACTGCCAGTGAGTCCTCTTGAGCCAGGATGTGGGGGGCAGGTGGGGAAAGAGAAACTGCCTGAGAGCACCCCAGGCAGCCCGAGCCCAGGGCCCACTCACAGGCTCCTCCTTTGCAGCACGGCCTTCCTTCTCCTCTGCCTTCCTCCTTCTTCTCTTCTTTCTTTTTTGTGTTTGCTTGCTTGAATAAGGTTTCTCTGTGCAGCCCTGGCTGTCCTGGAACTCGCTCTGTAGATCAGGCTGGCCTCAAACTCAGAGATCCTCCTGCCTCTGCCTCCTGAGTGCTGGGATTAAAGGTGTGCACCACCATGCCTGGCTCATTCTTTCTTCCTTCCTTCCTTCCTTCCTTCCTTCCTTCCTTCCTTCCTTCCTTCCTTCCTTCCTTCCTTTCTCTC